TTTTGAAGTTTATACTTCATCAAAAATTCAGGTCCATTAAATTAAAAAAAAAAAAAAGCATTTACTAACATAAAAAGGGGGGGGGGGGGGGGCAGAGGTCTTGAAAGACATTTTCCCAAAGAGCATATCCAAATAATCAACAAGCATATGAGAAGATCCTCAATGGCATTAGCTATTAAAAAAAAAAAAAAAAAAAAACTCACTGCCATTGAGTCAATTCAGACTCACAGCGACCCTTCCTTGGGTGTCTGAGGTGGTATCTCTATGGAAGTAGATTGCCCAATCTTCCTTCCGAGGAGTGGCTGATGGGTTTGAACCATCAGCCTTCTGGTTAGCAGTCAAATGCCTTAGGTACTACGCCACCAGAGCTCCTAGCCATTAGAGAGATGCAAATTAAAACTACAGTGAGATATCACCTCATCCCCATTAGAGTGACCAAGATCAAAAAAACGACAGGTGTTGGTAAGGTTGTGGGGAAACTGGTGTGAATGTAAAACGATGCTATTAAGAACAGTTTGATGGTTCCTCAAACAGTTAAAAATAGAACTATCATAAATGAAACCAAATCAAACTCACTGCTGTGGAGTCAGATCCGACTCATAGTGACACCTTCTTGGCTTTCCAAGGCAGTATCACTATGGAAGTAGAATGCCCAATCTTCCATCCAAGGATTGGCTGGTGGATTTGAACCACCAGCCAGCCTTCTGGTTACCAGAGCTCCCAGAACTATCATATTACCCAGCAATACCAATCCTAGGTATATACCCAGAAGTGAAAACAGGAACGCAAACAGAAATTGTGGCCCCAAAAAATGTGTTGTACATCCCAACTCCTACACTTGTAGAAGTCATGGAAACCCTAGGGGGCAGTTATACTCTTTCCTACAAAATCACAATGAGTCAGAATACTCCATGGCAACGTGTCATCTCATTTGGGAATAAGATTTTCCTTGTTATGTTAATTGCAACACTTTTTTCAAATAAAATGTTCATCAATAGATGAATGCATGGGGAAAAAAAATGTGGGCTATACAATGGAATATTACTCAGCAGTAGAAATGAAATCCAGCATGGATAAACCTAGAAAATATTATGCTGGGAGAAAATAAACCAAACCAAAAACCAAATCCACTGTGTCTCTATAGGACAAAACAGAATTGCCTCACAGGGTTTCCAAGTGTGTAAGTCTTTACAGAAACAAGCTGCCTCATCTTTCTCCTGGTAGCATAGTGCCTAAGGCACTTGACTGCTAACCAGAAGGCTGGCGGTTCAAACCCACCAGCCACTCCTCGGAAGGAAGATGGGGCAATCTACTTCTGTAGTGATATTGCCCTGGAAACCCAAGGAGGGGTCACTATGAGTCAGGTCTGACTCTATGAAACATAACAACAACATCTTTCTCCTGTGGAGCAGCTGGTGGGTTCGAACAGCAGATCTTTTGGTTAGCAGCCTGTGTTAATCACTATGCCACTAGGGCTCCTTTGAGAGAAGTAAGCCAGTCACAAAAGGCCAAATAGTGTATGATCTCACTTATAGGAAATAAGTAAATAAATTAAAAAAATATATATTAATGGTTACGTGGGGTAGGAAGGAGCTCTGGTGGCACAGTGGGTAAGGCATTTGGCTGCTAACCAGAAGATCAGCGGTTCAAACCCACCAGCTGCTCTGTAGCAGGAAGATGAGGCAATCTACTTCTACAAAGATTTACAGCCTTGAAAACCCTATGGGGGTCACTGATTGGAATCAACTCAATGGCAGTGGATTTGGTTTTTGTACCAGGGGTAGGAAGGAGAGGAAAAGGGTGAATTTTTGCTTAGGGGATGTTATAGAGAGAATTGCGGTCCCAAAAAATGTGTTGTACATCCTAATTCCTATTAATGTAGAAGTATTGGAAACCCTAGGAGGCAGTTATACTCTCTCCTACAAAATCAAAATGAGTCAGAATACTCTATGGCAACATGTAATCTCATTTGGGAATAGGATTTTCTTTATTGTGTTAATGAAGTCATATTAGTGCAGGGTGTATTTTAAGCCTTTGAAATATAAAATGAGCAGATTAGACACAGAGAAGCAAGCAGAGATGGAGGAAGATAGATGCCAGGCCACATGAAGATCACTAAGGAATGGAAAAACAGATGCTAAAACTGGACCAAGGAACTTCCCCAAGAGCCTTCTCCTAGAACCATTGTTCTGAATTCAGATTTATAGCCTCCTAAACTGTGAGAAAATAAATTTCTGCTCATTAAAGCCACCCATTTGTGGTACTTCTGCACTAGGTAACTAAGACAAAAAACAATGACCTTGTGGAATAATTTGGAAAAGGATAACAAGAATGGTTGCACACTGAAGAATGTTGTTGTTGTGTTGTTATGTGCCATCGAGTCGGACCCGACTCATAGCGACCCCTCGTTGGGTTTCTGACTCATAGCGACCCCTCGTTGGGTTTCCGAGGCAGTACGGAAGTAGATTGTCCCATCTTCCTTCTGAGGAGTGGCTGGTGGGTTTGAACCGCCAGGCTTCTGGTTAGCAGTCAAGTGCCTTAGGCACTATGCTACCAGAGCTGAAGAATGTAGTCAGGTGAAAATTGAATTGGTGAAGGTCTTGTGTATAATTTTACCATAATGAAAAAATGTATTAAATGTTTATCACACTATACTTTAAGTATTTTCCAAAGATCATGTTAGTCCTATTTCTTAGATATGATGTGATAAACAGACATGACTGACCATGAACTGTTATGTGCCGTCGAGTCGGCCCCGACTCATAGCGACCCCTCCTTGGGTTTCCGAGGCAGTATCACTACGGAAGTAGATTGTCTAACCTTCCTTCCATGGAGCGGCTGGCTGGTGGGTTTGAACCGCCAGCCTTCTGTTAGCAGTCAAGTGCCTTAGGCACTATGCTACCAGAGCTCCCGACCATGAACTAGTCCTAGGAAAAGTCTATGGGTTACAGACAAGCAGCCCCCCATGCCCTACTTCCCTACAAATGCTTGTCTTCTGGGGTACAGGGAAAGAGCTGATTCTGTCGGTTCTGCTCCACAAAGTATTCAGCTAAATAGCCAGTCTCCACAGGGCCCATATTTCCCAGGCCACATTAGCATTCCCAACAGCAGGTGGGAGAGGTCCCCACTGCCCACTCAGTTAATGATTTGGTCAGGGCTTGAGTAATTCAGGAACAAGAAGAGATAAAGAATATGTCCTCCTCTGGCCTCCAGAGGTGTTAAGGATACTAAGAGATGGCTCTGAAATCGGTTCAATTTCCTTGGCCTCTCTCACTTTCAGAGAAGAGCAAAAACAATAATTCTTTTCAGCATTTCAACCCTTGAAATAGTTGAAAGGCCACTACTCATTCCTGCCATCATTCCCAGAGGATCTACTGCCTACTGACTGAGGTTACCCATTTGGGTAGGAGTATGGCTACTCAACTCGTGAGAATTCGGATCTCCTGACTGCCAGACCATCAGCTGCCTGGCACTTCATGTTCAGCCTCTCCCCTCATCTTCTTCCTATGAACTACCAGATTTCAGCAAGTAGGAGGTGCTGCATGGTTACCTCAAGACACCCTCTGATGCCCCTCACAATGACCTAAGTAAGGCTCTGTCTCTCCCAGGACTGAAGGCTAGGGGATGGGGTGACCCTGTGGCCCCTGTTCTGAGTAACTCTTCTGGAGGAAGGCTGAGCATTCTAGAACAGCCAGGACGACTCTTCAAAATGAATGTAATAAAGACCACAGAAAATATTGAAAAGAGACTTGGGAACACTTAGGTGTTCTGGGCCCAGAGAGAGAACAGCACCAATTTCTTCTCCAAAACAATATGACATCCTAGTGATCACAGAGGAGCTCTGGTAGCATAGTGCCTAAGGCACTCGACTGCTAACCAGAAGCCTGGCGGTTCAAACCCACCAGCCACTCCTCGGAAGGAAGGTTGGGCAATCTATTTTTGTAGTGATACCTCCAAGGAAACTCAAGGAGGGGTCACTATGAGTCGGGGCTGACTCAACAGCACATAACAACAACAACAACAATGATCACAGAAACAAGGAAGACACATAAGTCTTGCAAAGGTATGAATGGAAAGTTTCTAAATGTGTTCTTACAGCAGCAAATACTGTTCATTTTTCTCGATCAAAAAGTTTCCTACCTCCCAGGGAAAGAGCAGAAAAACTAAGAAGGGCAGGGAAGAAGCTGGGTAGAGCTGAGGGCTGGCACTCCAGACTCAATGCCAATAGCTTGGCCTCCTTCCTCAGCATTAGCCTTTCCAGGGCAATCTGACACTGGAGGCACTCCCCAACAACAGTGGTTTTGACTATGGAAAGTGCCAGGCATGGCCTGAGAGATATGGCTTGGTCTGTAGAATCTTATAAATAACCACAGATTAAACATTGTTGAGCCCTAGCACCTAGAGGACTTTACAGGGGCTATGGGTAAAGTGTTTCATCACTGCACTCAAATCAGCCACCTACAGCATACTGTGGAGGCGGTGACTAGTGCTAGGAGACCTGGGGCATTTACCTCAGGCCTACCCACCTCTGCTCCAACCTCTACAGAGCAGGTAGGAAATAGAACCTGAGGGCAAAGCAGCAGGAGCTCGCCAAGGAAGGGGTGAGAAGAGAGACAGGGATGGGGCAAAGTATGTGGGGAGGTGCTGACGGCTGGCACTGCTGCCCTTCTCGGTGACGAGAACCGACCACAAGAAATGAAGAATCGGATTGCACTGCGGGGAAGGGGTCAGAAGCGCTGGGGACAGGGAGAGCGGGACCTAGGACACCCAAAGGAACCTAACTTCGGGAGGAGCAGAGTACCTGCAGGAACCGAGGGCGCCGGGGCTCTCCCAGCCGCAGCTTCGGGGAACCTAGAGAGGAGAGGCTGGAGGTCTGTTTCCGTGAGCCTGGGGAACCGCACCTTGGGATCCCCGGATCCGAAGGGATCGACCCTAGGTGCAGGCGAAGCCTGGGGGGTTCGGGGTGCTCGGGGGCGGTGCGCTGGGCGCAGCGCTCTCACCTGCGGAGCACCAGGAAGCTTAAGACCACCAGCGCCAGGAATCCGAGCCTGCGGCCAGGCCGCCGCCGGAAAGTCCACGTGCTCATGCCGGGTGGTGGGTCCGATTCCAGCGCGCTGAGGTGGAACAGCCACACTCCACCTGGCGCCGCGTTCGCCTAGGCAACCCCACCAGGTTCCCGGCACCTAGCTGCCCAACCCCTGCCCGAGCCCCGCC